AACGTGCACTTGCAGTCCATCTCATGGCTGTTATAAAGGTGTCACGTTTTTTGGTAGCATTTTATATGGGGGATAAATTTGCCCATCTATTGTGAGTCATTTTATTGTGGAATGTACTCTATATAAAAATGAGAGAAAGATTCTCTTCAATTGTATACAAGATTATTTCCCTAGTTTTAGATTTTTAGACAGAAAAGAAAAATTTACATTCCTCATGAAACTCAATAACCCTCGTACTATAAGCTCCATCTGTTCTTACATTTACAACTGTCTTAAGAAGCGAGAAGAAGCAGAACCTGTACATAATGTACATGTAGTTTTACTATATATATGTTATAATCTACCATCGCTACTTGCCGTGACCTGTACTTAGTTCGCAATGAGCAAAAAAGTACAATAAAGGTCTTTCATTCATTATACATGTAAACCCTAAATACTTCAGATGATTGAAACTGTAAAATATCCCTGAGATTTATCCTCTGTCCTTTTGTGATCTGAATTCAATCTCGTGGTTTGTTTGGTTTGGTTCAGACTCCCCGTGAACATGACTCGAACAAGTAATCCACAAGTGTTTCCAGCGTCTGTTCTCCAACTGTACGAGATGAGAAGACCGGACGTTCTTTGTTGTTTCTGAGAACCGGGCGGAAGTTGGAAGTTTGTAACAGAGACTGAGGGACAGATGGAAAGAACATGGCCTTGGACTTAGGCCACGGTAAGTAATTTTTATGGATGACATCAGCGCACGCATTAAGTTTTGCATGATTTGGGGAAAAATTGTTGCTCTCTTGCAGTGGTCCATATGCGGAAAATGGGCAAAGATGTCTGTTGCCATGCCGGAAGGTGAATGGTAGATAAATATGAAGAGAGGAGACAAGGAAAGGCTCTGATTTGTTTTGTCCTTGAAGTACTTTGACGCAGTGATGTATTTTATTCCTTTTATATGTGATGTTCACACTGAATCAACACCATATGTACAATGATTGAAAACTTTTATTTCTCAAAGTTGTTTCAGTGAGAAATGAATGTTGTAAAAGATGACAGTAAACCTAGCACAATACAGGTATCATCTCTTGTTTAACAAGGTTTACGATGTAAAAATTTGAAAATCTTAGGAATCTTCCTTTTCTTTTTGGCCCGCCTTGTTGTTTTTTTATCCCTATGGCATTAGATTTGGAGTCTGCGGAGGATGTCATCCATAAAATTTACTTGCTGTGGACTTGTTTCAGCTGCTCCTGGCGTTGGCAAAGAGAACTGAAGATAAGGAAACGGAAACGGGTGAGGGCCAAGTTCAAGTTAATTACATAAGGTCATGATCGTTGATGAGATTTCTTGGATGGGTTGGGGCTCTCTTGTCTTGAAGTTGTCTTCAGGAGGATTGCATGCAAAATATGCTAGGAGTATGGTGAAAAAATTGTAGTGGATGCCAGACTGTTGCCGGGGCCTACACGAGCTAGCTCCTCGGCTCCAGGGCCAATATATTTTACCACAAAGTCAAACTCACGGTCTAACTGGGGTGGGTTTGTGCAAGGACGTTCAATCTGTAGAACGTCCTTGGCCTTAGGACTCAGGAGGCATGTTGGCCTGTGCAGGCCTCCGGGCGGGTGGGAGTTTTGGCACTGCGTTTTATCTTTTGCCAGCGGGTACAAACCTTTTCTGGGCGGCTGGTTGTAGGATGGCCGACAAAAGAACGTGTCAAAAATTCTACAAAACGCAGTATCAAAACTCCCACCCGCCCGGAGGCCTGCACAGGAGGCTACGATGAGCTGGCCTGTGTACGAGTGGGCGCCAGAACAGCCTGACATCCAGGCTATCAAAAATCATACAACATAGCGATAAATAATTGCAATTTGTGGATGTTAGTGTTGACTTTTTCTTTGTTGATATATGTATATGTCATTTTTGTCTTTTTTACAGTTAAGAGCCGTCAACAAAACAAGTTCACGCAGATATCAAGCTTGAGTCAACAAGGTGTGTTGAGCTTATTATTTCATTTCGAAGAAAATGTTCACGGTGTCAAAATATTAGAAAAAACATAATCTTCAAGCAGATGTAAGAATTATGGCTAAGTGACTAACTATGGGTGTTTTTGCGCGTGTTTTGCAACTCTCATACAACAGAATGAAACAACAGTTATAGACTTCTTACTTCATTAGCGAATCAACTGCGTTACAAGTACGTAAACAATCAAGTTCAAAGACGCGTTTTTGGGTCTCTTTCATTGATGACGCATTTGTGTCGCCTGATATCAACCGATTTCCGGTTCGGAAATCCAATGGTGGGTGGGGAGACTTAAAAAATTAATGCACGCGTTGATGTCATCCATAAAAATGACTTGCTGTGGCCCAAACAATGAAGTTCAAAGACGCGTTTTTTTAGTCTTTATTCCCAGTGATGACGCAAATGTGTCGCCTGATATCAGCCGATTTCCGTTTCGGAAATCCAATGGTGGGTGGCGAGACTTCCTGACTTGGTGTGAACTATTATTATTCCAACCAGTAGCGTTTGCCTGCGGTTTCCCTGTGTTTACATTTGGTGAGGGATCGTACTAGATATTTCCGGAAATGCGTCACATTTTGTAAACTGATAGAAGACGAATAATGCTAAACATATTACGTCTTTGTTTTTATTTGATTGTTTGAGATCATTCAAGGTAAAACATTATGACGTCTTTGTTTTTATTCGATTGTGGAGTCATTGAAGGCAAAACATATTACGTTTTTGTTTTATTAGATTGTTGAGATCATTCAAGTCAAAACATATTACGTCTTTGTTTTTATTATTCGCTTGAGTTGCGAGAAAACTTGGGACATATTCATAAAGTATTACATTCTGAGGGAAACAGCAGAAAGTGTGTAAATACAGTGATATACGATAGGAATTAGGATACCTAATTTGGCAGCTTTGACTGAAAACAATTATCGCAATCTAAGTGCCATGAAGCACAAAAATAAATCTTTTGAATCAATAGAAAAAATGGGGACTACATAATCATTGAACTAGTGGTGTTTCACGTGAAAAAAAACTAACTAAAAACAACACTGAATCCTACACTGTCTGGTCCAAATTATGCCACAGTGGGCCTTGTTTAAGTTTACTTAGATTAACTAGAACAACCTTCACTGGGTTTTCAAGGACGAATCTTGTGATGTTTATATCATCATTAGGCCACACCAATTTAATTTGTTGTTTCACGGATTCGCCCGCTTCGTTTTCCGATTTGCAAAAAAAAAAAAACATTTCAGCCTTTGAATCAACTCCAAAAATGCTCATATTTTGGTCCCAATTAAAGAAAGTCCCTTCTCTTCAGACCTGTTACAGTTTTTCCATCTATGAATGCAGTGGTTTGATTAAAAGTTTACAAACCAGCCTGGTATGTTGACTTCATAGCTCCTATCATGCCATTTGTGGCTATCATAGGATGCCTTGGTCTGTTTTTTTTTTTTTTCGCCTGTCTCTTCATTATTTTTCTGAAAAAAATGCGAGAACCAACTGATCAAATTGGTGTGGCCTTACGAGCATTCACGTGGAGACGCGAGCCCTCACCTCACCTCACCTATCCCTTAACTTGATGAGGGTCGCTGGGGCACCATAAAATGCCCCAAAATAGCTAAAGACGTTTTTATACTCTGCAGCTAGTGACAATAAAACTTAAATACCAGAAAAGTTAAATGCCAGAAAAGTTAAATACCAGAAATGTTAAGGACATGAACTTTTAAAGGGCACGTGTGCTTTGTAGGCAAGATCAGTATCCTTAAAAGTGAAATGTCGAAGGGTGGATGTCCCCAGACACGGGGCCTCCTATACGAGTCGACGTCCCTAACCAAAGCTAGGTACTCATTTTCACTAGAGTGAAGTGAGGAAAGTGACTGTCCCAAGAACCTGTTAGTTCTGGACCAAACGCACAACGTTTTTCGTGTGACGACTGGGGTCGCAACTTCTTCAAGTATGATGTTTTGCGTTGTTATGGCTTCACCACACCATTTGGTGAAACATAATGCTTTCCTTTGTGTTTCTTCTTCTTCTCCTCCTGCCATTTCATCAAATGGATTCAACTCTACCATTTTTCAGCCAAATGACCTGAAATTTGGCACGGAGGTAGAATG